GTGCTTTCCCTCAGCACAGATATTTTGAAAGTCTTCTGTGCTGAATATGTATTGATGGAGCATCCTTTTTTGTTCCTACTGGGAGTGGAGATGGGACTAGGGTGAGGCAAAGGAGGGGCCTAGGGTGCAGAATGGAAACAGGCGCTTGCCCTCTGCAAGGCACCGCCACTTCCGTGATCCTGGTAGAGAGGGCCTCCTGACATTTCGCACCCTCGGCTTCTCACTTGCTTCATTCCAATCCCAGTCCTGCCGAGTAGTATTTCATGGCATGGGTATATTGTAATTTGTTCATCCCTTTACCTGTTGATGACATGCAATCATTTCCCAATCTTAATTACATATTGGAAATAAAACTGTTAGGCACACTCCTAAGTCTTTGTATGAACATAACACTTTTAATTCTTTTGGGCAAATACCTAAGAGTGAACTGGGCTTCCTAGGTGGCTCAGTGGTAAAGAATCGGCCTGTCGATGCAGGAGACTCCGGTTTGATTCCTGGGTTGGGAAGATCCCCTGGAGGAGGAAATGGCAACCCACTCTAGCATTCTTGCTTGGAAAACCCCATGGACAGAGGAGCCTGACGGTTTACAGTCACAAAGAGTTAGACACGACGAGCACACACCCAAGCATAGATATGTGGGTCTACTTGTAGACTTTCTCCTGTTTCATTGGTATGCGTGTCTGTCTTTATGCCAATATTACACAGTCTTGATTTCTATAGTTTTATAATGTCTTAAAGTCTGATGTTAATACTTCCTCTTTGATCTTCTTTTTCAGTTTTTCAGCTTTTCTGCAATCTTTGCCTTTCCATATGCTTTTTAGAATCAATCCGTTCATTTATATTAAGGTGTCTGCTGAGACTTTGATTGGGTAGAATGGACGAATTGACTCTTTTGACCCATGAGCCCTGTAGTGTGTAGCTCTACTTCTTTAGATCGTTAATTTCTTTCTGCAGTGTTGGGTAGTTTTTAGTATACAGGTCTTCCACATCTTTTGTCATGTGTGTTGTCGTTGTTCAGTCACCCTGTCACGTCTGACCCTTTGCGACCCCATGGACTGTAGCACGCCAGGCCTCCCTGTCCCTCACCATCTCCCGAAGTTTGCCCAAGTTCATGTCCATTGCATCCAGCCATCTGATCCTCTGCCCCCAATCTTTCCCAGTATCAAGGACTTATCCAATGAGTTGGTCGTTTGCATCAGATGATCAAAATACTGGAGCTTCAGCTTCAGCATCAGTTTATTCCTAAGTATTTTGTAGTTTTTGATGGTATTTAAATTGCAACTGTTCACCACTAGTATAAACTTCATCTAATTTTTTATATAACTGATCATATTATCTCTAATTAAAGACAACTTTACTTCTTCCTTTCCAATCTGGGTGCCTTTTATTATTGTTTCCCCCTTGACTTGTTGCTCTATCAGGAAATTTCAGTATTCTAAAATATTCAATCATTATTAGAATAATTTCAATATTCCAACATTGAATTATACTTGACATATAGCAGTATACTAGTTTCAGGTATACAATATATTGAAATTATAATTGTACATATTGAGAAATGATCACCACAATAAGTCTAAGTTGACATCTATCACCATGCATAGTTACAAAAATATTTTTTCTTGTGATAAGAAATTTTAAGTTCTAAAGTTCTACTCTCAATAACTTTAAGTATGCAGTACAGTATTATTAATTATAGTTCCATGCTGTGCTTTATATCCTTATGACATGTTTATTTTATAATTAGAAATCTGCACCTTTTGATCCCTTTCACCCAGTTTTCTCATCCCCCACCACATGCCTCTGGCAACCATCAATCTGTTCTCTGTATCTGTGAGCTTGTTTTTTTTTTTTGATTGTTTGGTTTTTAGATTCCACATGTAAGTGAATCATATGGTATTTATGTTTGACTTATTTCACTTAACATATGCTTTCAGGATCCATCCATGTGGTCACAAATGGCAAGATTTCATTCTTTTTCTTATGACTGATTATCATTCTATTGGGTATACTCCATTGTGTATGTATGTATGTTCATATACATATATATGTATGTACACACACACACACACACACACACACACATACCCCACATCTTCTTTACCCATTCACCTATCAAAGAACACTTATGTTGTTCCATAACTTAGCTATTGTAAAGAATGCTACAATTGAAATGAAGGGTGAACATGTAGTTTTGAGTATGGTTTTCATTTTCTTCAGATAAATGCCCAGAAGTAGAATTGCTAGATTATATAGTAATCATATTTTTAATTTTTTGAGGAAACTTTGTATTTTTTTCCATAATTGCTGCACCAATTGACATTTCTAGCAACAGTGCATAAGCAGTCTCCTTTCTCCACATCCTCGCCAATACTTGTCACTTCCTACCTTTTTGATAATAGCCATTCTAGCAGATGTGAGGTGCTATCTCATTGCAGTTTTGATTTGCATTCCACTGATGATTAGTGATGTTCAGTTTCTTTTCATATACTATCCATATGTTGACCATCTGTATGTCTTCTTTGGGAAGAAGTTAGTTGAAGAATAGTTGAAATCTCCAACCATAATTATGAATTTGATAACTTTTTGGCAGTTTGTTTTTTGGCTTCATTTGTTGGGAAGCTTTGTTATGAGGTGAATAAATGTTTAGGACTGTCATGTGTTCTTAAAGAACTAACTCCTTTATCACTGTGAAATACCATCTTTATTCCTTGTCTTGATATATTGGGTCTGATTTTCAGCTTTCTTTTCATTAACTTTTCATGGTATATTTTCCCCATATTTTCTTATTATTTAGCTGTGTTTTTATATTTAAAATATGTTTCTTACAGGTTATATGTACTTTAAACTTGATTTTTCTTTTTAAATCCACTCCGATAATTCCTACTTTCTAATTGGTATATGTAGACCATTTCTATTTAATGGGAGTATTTATATGGTTAGCATAAAATCTATATTCTTGCTATTTGTTTTTTATTTGTCCTATTTGTTTCCCTTAATTCTGTCTTCTTTTCAACTTTAATTGAATTTTTATGATTTCATTTTATCTTTTCTTGACTTACTAGCCATAAGTCTTTAAAAAATATTATTTTAGTGCTTGCTTTAGGGTTTGTAGTGTACATCTTTAACTAAATAATGTCTACCTTCACATAATGTTATATCACTTCACATAGAGTATATAAAAAAAACCTTTCAGCAGGATAGCTTCTATTTTTCCTCTTTAAGTCTTTATGCTGTTATTGTCATGCATTTTAATTTTGTATATGTCATAAACACAATATGTTATTATTTTTGTTTAAATAGCCTATTACCTCTTAAAGAGATATAAATAACATTAAAAATTATCTTATTTACCATGTAATTGCCATTTGAATGGGATATTTGCTGTCATCTTTATCTTTGGTCCTCTGTTCACAAAGTATCCTTTTCCTCTAGATGTTTTTAAATTTTTCTCTTTATCACCTGTTCTAAGCAATTGGATTATGATATGCTGTAGTATAGTTTTCTTCATTTTTTTAATACTTCGGATTATTAAGTTTCTCGAGTTTATAATTTTCATCAAATTAAAACAATTTTACACCATTTTTATTCAAATAATTTTCAATCTTCCTCCTTCCTCTTCTTCACAGAATCTATTTATATGTATATCTAGATATTTGAAATTGCTCCACATCTTACTGATGTGATTACTTTTTGATTATTGCTTGATTCTATTTTCTTTCATTGTTTCATTTTAAATAGTTTCTACTGTTGTCTTTATGTGTATTATTTTCTTTCCAATATGTAATTTGCTTTTAATTCCATACAATGTATTTTAGCTCACATATCACATTTTATCTCTGGAAATTTGATTTACTTATTTTCTTTACCTCTGTAGCTTTCGTTATATTTTTGAACCTATGCAACACAGTTATAACTATTTTGGTGTTCTTCTTTTCCCATTCTAACTTCTGTATTAATTATGAATCTGTTTCAATTGATTGATTTTTTTAAAAAAAATTATAGATACTATTTCTTTGCTTCTCTTACAGACCAATTTTTTTAATTGCATGGGACTTATGTATACTAAAAAATTATTCATTGTTTATCTGAAATTTAAATTTAGCTAAGGATCCTCTATTTTATTGCAGTTTATGTCTTGAGACCTCTAGTCCCCTTGATCTCTCCAAACCCTTTTCTTTGTCTTCTGAGCCCAGGAAATCCTCCAGCCTCTGCCTGCATTTCACTCCCTCTGCTACAGCCTGGATGCTCTCATGGAAGTAAGCTTTGCAATAGTGGAGCTCATAGTCTTTGTTTCCTTTCTCTCAGGGATTGTTGCCCTTTGTTGTCTGATATTCATTATGTTGAAACCCAGTTTTTCATATACTATTCCTGTTTTTTGGTTGTTTTACCCAGGAGAATAAATCTGGTCTTTGTTAGTCTATCTTGGCTGAAGGAGGAAGTCCATCTCTAGAGATTATTTTTCTTAGCCAGAGGCAAAAGCATGGTGCTGATGGGGCCAAAGCTGTGTGTTCAGTACCTTTATAGGAGAGTTTTTGTTTTTTGTTTTTTTTTTAACTCTGCTCCATAGTTTTATGAAATCAGCTATCTAAGGAAAAAAAAAATGCTATGGATCATAAAAGGTACCTAGTAATTATGGGGATGCGGACTTACCACTGTTGGGAAACTGATTAGAAATGCATGTCTGCTAATAAGAAAATGGGGATAGGCCATGGAGTTATTACCAAGTGAAAGGATAAATCAGCACATCACAGGATTGTCAGAATTTGGACCAAAAGAAAGGGTTGGCTGAGGGTCAATGATTGGAAAACTGAACGCTAATAAGCTTGGAGGCCAGTCCAGGAAGAAAAGGCTGAGAGAGCCAGAGTGGTCAAACTGGGGTTGTAGAGGGACTTAGTCCCTCTTTCCTGTCCAGTAATCAACTGCATCCTAGCTAGCGGTCTCTGAAAATAAAAATAAAAGCATTTCCTCTCTTTTCTCTTTGGTTCTTCTTGGTTCAGCTATATGCCGCTATCCTCTGGGCATGTCAGGAGGCCACATTCCAGATGAGGACATCACAGCTTCCAGTCAGTGGTCAGAGTCCACAGCTGCCAAATATGGAAGGTGAGAATGGACACCTCAAAAACACCTGAGTTCTGGGCTGGACAGATGGCTCCCTTGGGGCTTCCCAGGTGGCCCCGTGGTAAAGAATCTGCCTGTCAATGCAGGAGATGCAGGTTCGATCCCTGCATTAGGAAGATCCCCTGGAGTAGGAAATGGCACCCCACTCCAGTATTCTTGCCTGGAGAATTCCATGGACCCCCTGGCAGACTGTAGTTCATGGGGTTGCAAAGAGTCAGACACTTCTGAGGGACTGAGCATGCATGCATGGGTTGGATGGAATAACGGGCTCAAGGGGCTAACAGAGGAGGATGATACTTGGTGGGAGCTGGTAGGAATGGGGGAAGACACATGTGCTAGCCCAGCAGCCTCACGCTAGAGCCTCACCACTCATTGCAGGTTGGTTTATTGACATGTGGGACACTTGCTTTAGCCACTCTCTCACCATGAACTACTGCAGGAAGTGGACTACAGTGGTACCTATGGGAAAGTGCAGATTAGGTAGGACACTGGAAGTTAGGAAACCTGATCCTCTTTTTGGTGAGTATCTGTGAAACATCACTCACAGTAGAAGACATCAAGGACTTAATTAGACACTGAGGCGTCCAACAAATTCCTCCCTCCTCTCAAGGATACCTTACACTGAAGGGCCATCCTCATCCATAAACAAAACATGGTAGCTTTCTTGTGGTCTAATGTCAGGGGTCCTTTAAAGCAATAAACACCCTTGTTGAAAGCTATTTAACTTGTTAGGAAATAACCTTCTTCTTGGAATCTAGTTCTTTTGGCGTAAAGTATTGATCTCTGTTAAAACGGAATCATCCATTTTAAGCCTTCCTATAATCACCCCTATAAACCTCCTCCATGATCTCTGTCTTGGAGTGTGAAAGATTAGAGTGATGTCTGGTGGGGCTGGAAGGGAGTGGCAATGAGTTGGTATCATCTGTGAGAGGAGACACATTCCTGGGAAGAGGGAAAGGGGGAAGAGGGTCCCAAAATAAGCTTTACAATGATTTCACAATTTTGCTTGGTCATCCTGGAGGTCATAAAATGAAACCAGATTATTTACTTTTCCCTGACATGCCCTTACTCCTCACTCTCACCATAGGTTTTCATGGCTTTTTGCTGAGCTGCCACGCTCATCCTGCTGGTTGAAATTCCACTGCATTGCACAACCCACACTGCAGATCTGATGATTCCTCCCTCCCCACTCTTATAACTTGATATCCAGGCAAGGAGTGGCTAGCTTTGTTAAAAGGAATAGAGGGTAGGGAGGGTTTCATTGCATGGGACCTCCCTTGAGACCTCTAAATAAGGGTGGGAAGTAAAGGCTACATATTATCTGAAGGTCTCCATCTCCCTGGTGGTGACTGTCTTTCTGAGTGTCATGGTGCCCCAGGGAGAGGGAACTGGCCACAAGCGGGTACGGTGGTGACAGTCAGACTGGTGGGGAGAGCCCAAAAAGTCCGTCTGGACTGGACTTCCAGCCTGCTCTCTCCCTTCAGGACTGGCAGCTGCTTGCTGGGGACTGGTAAATAACTGTGGTTTCATGGTTCCTTCCTCTTCCCCTAACCCTCATCCATCAAGGCTGGACTCAGAAGAAGGGGATGGAGCCTGGTGTCCTGAGATTCCAGTGGAACCTGATGACCTGAAGGAGTTTCTGCAGATTGACTTGCACACCCTGCACTTTATCACTCTGGTGGGGACCCAGGGGCGCCATGCAGGGGGCCATGGCATTGAGTTTGCCCCCATGTACAAGATCAACTACAGTCGAGATGGCACTCGCTGGATCTCTTGGCGGAACCGGCATGGGAAACAGGTAAGAAGAGACATCCAAACCCGGGGATGTCTGGGACTGTACTTTGACTTAGGCTAGAAGAGGAAGTACACAGATTGTCTATGCAGGTGTTTATGTGTCCGCAGACCTACCGTGCCCTTGTGAATGTGTGACCCAAGATGAAGAGGAGGGTGGGGGCACAGACAGGGATATCAAGGCTGCTGAGAGAGCTGTGAATGAATACATTCTGCTTCTTGAATTAAAAAGAGAGATTCCATCAAAGAGATAATGACTTGGGGAATGAAGAAGAGTCAGCATAACTGCATTGCATCTCCTCAGTCTTTCTCTCCCTTCTTCTCAGGTGCTGGATGGAAATAGTAACCCCTATGACATTTTCCTAAAGGATTTGGAGCCACCAATTGTGGCCAGATTTGTCCGCTTTATCCCAGTAACCGATCACTCCATGAACGTGTGCATGAGGGTGGAGCTTTACGGATGTGTCTGGCTGGGTAGGTGTCTAAAGAGAGAGAGCTTATAAACTTTATTAAAAACATCAACCCCTGGTCAATAAAGGCAATCAAATCAGAAGGAGGATTTACTTCCACTAAGAATTGCAGTGGAATCACTAATCATCCTAGTTAGAGTAAAGAAAGGAATAGTATTCATCCACCCAGGGTGTGGTGCCCCCACCAAGTTGCTTTGCTGACTGCTGCTGCAGGGGAGTGCTCCCCAGGATGGCTCCTTGTGAGCCCAGATTGAGTCCTAGGTGGACACACTGCTCAAAATGGCACTCGTGAAGCCTCAGCCAGTTCCCTGGGATAGCTGGTCTAGGCAGCAGGTGCATCTCCTTCCCAAAGGCACTGACGCGTCCGTGTTTCCTTTGGCAGATGGCTTGGTGTCTTACAGTGCTCCAGCTGGACAGCAGTTTGTACTGCCGGGAGGCTCCATCATTTATCTCAACGATTCTGTCTATGATGGAGCTGTTGGGTACAGGTAAATCCTGGGAGACTTTAATCATCAGGCTAGGAAAATGACCACCAGAAGAGAATAATACTTTATCGTGGCCTGGGAACAACACTCAATGAATCAATCAGCTAGCCAGTGTTTATTTAGCACTTATACCAGGCATCGTGAGATAAGTTTAGATACAGTAAAATCAGTTCAGTTCAGTTCAGCCACTCAGTCATGTCTGACTCTTTGTGACCCCATGGACTGAAGCATGCCAGGCTTCCCTGTCCATCACCAACTCCTGAAGCTTGTTCAAATTCATGTCCATCGAGTCGGTGATGCCATCCAACCATCTCATCCTGTGTCATCCCCTTTTCCTCCTGCCTTCATTCAATCTTTCCCAGCATCATGGTCTTTTCCAATAAGTCAGTTCTTCGCATCAAGTGGCCAAAATATTGGAATTTCAGCTTCAGCATTAGTCCTTCCAATGAATATTCAGGACTGATTTCCTTTAGGATGGACTAGTTGGATCTCCTTGCAGTCCAAGGGACTCTCAAGAGTCTTCTCCAACCCTACAGTTCAAAAGCATCAATTCTTCGGTGCTCAGCTTTCTTTATGGTCCAACTCTCACATCCATACATGAGTACTGGAAAAACCATAGCTTTGACTATACAGATCTTTGTCAGTAAAGTATTATCTCTGCTTTTTAATATGCTGTCTAGGTTGATCATAGCTTTTCTTCCAAGGAGCAAGCATCTTTTAATTTCATGGCTACAGTCACCATCTGCAGTGATTTTGGAGCCCAAGAAAATAAAGTCTGTCACTGTTTCCATTGTTTCCCCATCTATTTGCCGTGAAGTGATGGGACTGGATGCCATGATCTTTATTTTTTGAATTTTGAGTTTTAAGCCAGCTTTTTCACTCTCCTCTTTCACTTTCATCAAGAGGCTATTTAGTTCTTCTTCGCTTTCTGCCATAAGGGTGGTATCATCTGCATATCTGAAGTTATTGATATTTCTCCCAGCAATCTTGATTCCAGCTTGTGCTTCATCCAGCCCAGCATTTCTCATGATGTACTCTGCATATAAGTTAAATAAGCAGGGTGACAATATACAGACTTGATGTACTCCTTTCCTGATTTGGAACCAGTCTGCTGTTCCATGTTCTGACTGTTGCCTCTTGACCTGCATACAGATTTCTCAGGAGGCAGGTCAGGTGGTCTGGTATTCCCATCTCTTTAAGAATTTTCCACAGTTTTTTGTGATCCACACAGTCAAAGGCTTTGGCATAGCCAATAACGCAGAAGTAGATGTTTTTCTGGAACTCTCTTGCTTTTTTGATAATCCAACATATGTAATGGATGTAGTTTTTATCGGAAAGGAACTGAGAGCCTAGTTTGGGAAGACAAAGTGAAAGTGAAAGTGAAGTCGCTCAGTCAGGTCCAATTCTTTGTGACCCCATGGACCTGCCAGGCTCCTCTGTCTATGGGATTTTCCAGCAAGAATACTGGTGTGGATTGCCATTTCCTTCTCCAGAGAATCTTCAACAAGACAAAATAGTCATGAGGGAAACAGTAAATTATACAAGAAGGGCTAAATTTTATAATATGATAAGGTAGTCATGTTTTTGACCCTCAAATGGGACATGAGGTCTGACATAAATAATAGCCTACTTATGGAGACAAAGGGCCAGAAGAACTAAAGCTACAAGTATAATGAACTGGACTTCTAAAGAAGTTCAGAAAGAATGAATTCCACACATGTAAATGCTTTAGAAATTGTGAAAAGAAGGACACTATTAAGACCAAAAACAGACAAGGAAAGTCTCTAGCATGAGATGGTAGTTGGCGAAAAGGAGGCAGGCAGAGGGAGCAGAGGAAAGGAATCAGGGATGAGGACCAGAACGCCTTGACTACAGCAGAAGCTGGAACTGGGAACAGCAGAAGGACTGATGGATACTTGAAGTGAACCAAGGGAGGGCCATGGTGGAGGAGTATGTTCAGATACAGGAGGAATTTAGGGTTGGGCAAGAGATGTTCTCCCCATCCCAATTCATTCCAAGTCTTGCCATTCTTCTACCCCAGATCAATAGTTTTCTCTCTGAAGTTGATCTTTGTCTGCACAGGTTGAGCTTGGCAGAGAGGTCTCAATCATAGTGAAGCCCACACTGCATAATTGAGGTTGTGGGTGGTTGAGAGAGAGAGAGAGAGGTTAGTGAGTCTCAGGAAGAGGACTGTGGAATTACAGCACTTCCATTGTCTTAGGTGTGAAGAATTAACTACTGCCCTTCAGCTTCCCAATCCCTATCTGAAGACGTGACTCATCAGGTTTTCTGTGGTGAATCACTTCCTTTCCATCTACTTAGTCATTGTTCTTCCCCCTGTACATAAGTTGGTCTTGACATCATTTCACTTAGCCACACCCAGCTGCCATAAAATCAAGGCACAGAGGAAAGCAGAGATCAATTGAATTCATTTTAATTTAGTAAGTCTTTGCTAATCAACTGTTATTACATGCAAGGAATTTGGTAGGGATTCAAATATAGTAAAGTCATTGATCCTACATTTAAGGAGTTCACAGTTTATTAGGCATCTGTGTGTCTTCTTTGGAGAAACGTCTGTTTAGGTGTTCTGCCTATTATTTTGATTTGGTTGCTTTTCTGATACTGAGCTGTCTGAGATGCTTGTATATTTTGGCGATTAATCCTTAGTCAGTTACTTCATTTACAATTATTTTCTCCCATTCTGAGGACTGTCTTTTGATTTTTTAAATTTTTTAAAAATTTATTTTAACTTATTTTTTAAAATAACTTATTTTTTATTGAAGGATAATTGCTTTACAGAATTTTCTGTTTTCTATCAAACCTCAACATGAATCAGCCATAGGTATACATATATTTCCTCCCTTTTGAAACTCCCTCCCATCTCCCTCCCCACCCCACCCCTCTAGGCTGATACAGAGCCCCTGTTTGAGTTTCCTGAGCCACACAGCAAATTCCCATTGGCTATCTATTTTATATATGGTAATGTAATGTTACTCTTTCCATACATCTCACCCTCTCCTCCCTCCTCTCCATGTCCATATGTCTATTCTCTATGTATGTTTCTCCACTGCTGCCCTATAAATAAATTCTGCAGGACCATTTTTCTATATTCCATATATATGCGTTAGAATATGATATTTATCTTTGCCTTTTTGACTTACTTCACTCTGTATAATAGGTTCTAGGTTCATCCACCTCATTAAGACTGACTCAAATGTGTTCCTTTTTATTGCTGAGTAATATTCCAATGTGTACTACACTTTCTTTATCCATTCTTCTGCTGATAGACATCTAGGTTGATTCCATATTCTAGCTATTGTTAATAGTGCTGCAATGAACAATGGGATACATGTGTCTTTTTCAATTTTGGTTTCCTCAGGGTATATACCTAGGAGTGGGACTGCTGGGTCATATGGTGGTTTTATTCCTAGCTTTTTAAGGAATCTCCATACCATCTTCCACAGTGGCTGTATCAACAGTGCAGGAGCGTTCCCTTTTCTCCACACCCTCTGCAGCATTTATTGTTTGTAGACTTTTTGATGATGGCCATTCTGACCACTGTGAGGTGATAGCTCATTGTAGTTTTGATTTGCATTTCTCTTAATAATGAGTGATGTTGAGCATCTTCTCATGTTTGTAAGCCATCTGTATGTCTTCTTTAGAGAAATGTCTGTTTAGGTCTTTTTCCCACTTTTTGATTGGGTTGTTTGTTTTTCTGGTATTGAGTTATATGAGCTGCTTGTATATTTTGGAAATCAATCCTTTGTCAGTTGTTTCATTTGCTATTATTTTCTCCCATCCTGAGAGTTGTCTTTTCACCTTGCTTATAGTTTCCTTTGCTGTGCAAAAGCTTTTAAGTTTAATCAGGTCCCACTTGTTTCCTTTTGTTTTTATTTCTGTTACTCTAGGAGGTGGATCATAGAGGATCTTGCTTTGATTTATGTCATCGAGTGTTCTGCCTATGTTTTCCTCTAAGAGTTTTATAGTTTCTGGTCTTACATTTAGGTCTTAATCCATTTCAAGTTTATCTTTGTGTATAGTGTTAGGAGGTGTTCTAATTTCATTCTTTTACATGTAGCTGTCCAGTTTTCCCAGCACTATTTATTGAAGAGGCTCTCTTTGCCCCACTGTATATTCTTGCCTCCTTTGTCAAAAAATAAGGTACCCGTAGATGCATGGGTTTATTTCCGGGCTTTATATCTTGTTCCATTGGTTTATATTTCTGTTTTTGTGCCAGTACCATGCTATCTTGATGACTGTAGCTTTGTAGTATAATCTGAAGTCAGGAAGGTTGATTTCTCCAGCTCCATTCTTCTTTATCAAGACTGCTTTGGTTATTTGGGGTCTTTTGTGTTTCCATATAAATTGTGAAATTTTTTGTTCTAGTTCTGTGAAAAATGGTATTGGTAATTTGGTAAATTGGTAATTTGATAGGGATCTCACTGAATCTGTAGGTCTCATTTGGTAGTATAATCATTTTTCACAATATTGATTCTTTCTACATGGAATCTCTCTCCATCTGTTTATGTCATCTTTGATTTCTTTCATTAGTGTCTTATAATTTTCTGTGTACAGTTCTTTTGTCTCCTTAGGTAAGCTTATTCCTAGATATTTTATTCTTTTTGTTGCAAAGGTGAATGGGATTGATTCCTTAATTTATCTTTATGATTTCATGTTAGTATATAGAAATGCAAGTGATTTCTGTGTATTGATTTTGTATCCTGCAACTTTGCTAAATTCATTGATTAGCTCTAGTTATTTTCTGATACTGTCTTTAGGGTTTTCTATGTATAGTATCATGTCATCTGCAAACAGTGAGAGCTTTACTTCTTTTCCAATCTGGATTGCTTTTATTTCTTTTTCTTCTCTGATTGCTGTAGCTAGGATTTTCAGAACTATGTTGAATAATAGTGGTGAAAGTGGACACCCTTGTCTTATTCCTGATCTTAGGGGGAATGCTTTCAGTTTTTCACCATAGAGATGTTTGCTGTAGACTTACCATA